AAAAAAAAAAAAAAAAATCTCTTCATGTTGGGTGTTTCCCTTGACAAGTATGTAGTGACCTTCCCTGTGTTTCCTTATCTTTGTTGGTTTAAAGCCAATTATATCTGCCACTAAAATTGCAACCCCTGATTTTTTCTGGTTCCATTTGCTTGTATTATAGAAGTATATCCCTTCACTCTGAGTCTATTTTTATCCTTTAAGGTAGGATTCTTGTATACAGCAGATATCTAGTCTGAGTTTATGTATCCAGTCAGCTAGCCTGTGCCTAGAGGACAATTTATACCATTCACATTAAGTGAGAGAATTGGTAAGCCTGGTTGTTTTTTGGGCATCATGATTTCAGATGTCCAGTAGACATTTTTAATCCTTTCACCACTGTGGAAATTGGGTTTTATTCAAAAATTTCTGGGTGAGTTTACTTTGGAGGTACGGTGTTGCACTGATCGTTGTGGAGGATGGGCCTGAGAATATCCTGGAAAGCTGGTTTAGTTATGGCAAATTTCTTCAGCCTGTCTATGGAATTAAAGTATTTGCTTTCTCCATCACAGTGAAACTCAGTTTAGCTGGATACAGGATCCTGGGCTGGAAATGTTTTGTTTTAGGAGACTGAAGATCAGTGACCATTCTCTTCAGGCTAGAAATGTTTTGGCTGAGAGATCTGCAGTCATTCTGATACTTTTCCCTTTTAGACGATGCTTTTCTTACATCTGGCTGCTTGCAGAATTTTCTCCTTTGTCTTGACATTGGCAAAGTTAATCACAATGTGTCTAGGAGATGCTTTATTTGGATTGAGTCTTCTAGGGTTCTGAAACTGTTTTCTGAAGTTCTGAATCTCTTGCAAGGCTTGGGAAATTCTCCAAAATCTCTTGGAGTAGAGCATCTGTACCTTTAGGGCCATCCTCTTCTCCTTCAGGAATTCCTATAAGACAAATGTTTGATCTTTTGGAGTGATCCCACAACTCTCTCAGGCAATGATCAGTTTTTGCTCTCCATTTGTCTGCCTCTTTGAGTAATTAGGAATGTTCAAAAGCTTTGTCTTCAGTTTCAGAGATCCTTTCTTCCACTTGGTCAACTCTATTACTGAGGGATTCTACTATATTTTGGAGTTCCTCACTAACTTTTTCATTTCCTTGAGCTCTGATATCTCTTTTCTCATTATGTTCATATCTTTGTTGACTTGGCTTTGAATTCATTAATTTCTTTTTGGGGGAGGAATTCATTCTTTTTTTTTTTTTTTTG